ATGTCAGAAAGGATAATAGATATTATTTTCCATACCGATTATTGCATAGGTCAAAAAAAATACTATCTTTGTTTGTATATTAATGTTTGACCATGAATATTTCGAAAATTATAACGTCTACGTCAAAGTATGTTTAATCAAGAATTTATTTCTCGCAGCATACAAATGAAATGTACAGCATCCATAAGAAAAACAATAGTTGCTATCAGTTTCTGAAAAACTGTAGATTTGGCAACATCCCGGATATCATCAACGGATCCGCCGTGGTTTCGAACCTAAACCTACCAATTTTTAAAATAAATTAGATTAGTCATTCGCCAAATATTTCCAAACTTTTGTTACGCACTGTATATATAGACGCATGTACCCATAAGGCCTGTAATAAAAATAAAAGATTGGTAGTACTCATTAACTAGAAGTATATCTTGGTAAACGAAAATATGTTAACCCATTAAAAAATAATAACTTCCATTAATGGATCTCAACGCAAAATAAAAATAGATATAATAAATAACAATTTTAACGTAAAATATAATAAACTTATGATGCAACTGCAGTTTGCGGCTAATATCATCCAGAAAAATCAGGGCTGTTAAAAAATCATGTGCCATAGGATTTTCCAAGGTTTTACAACGTTTTTCCACCAAAAATTTCCGTTCCTCCGGCATTGGCTTAAAAAAAAAATGGAAATACAAATTTTGGGCTGAGCACATCTGAACTTAGCCTATAATTAGTCAGGTATAAAAAAATCCATCGTTTTACCATGTTTTTCCAACCAAATTTTGTTTTTCCACCTTTGACTAACAAAAAATATGACAATGATTTTTCAGGGTCATTTGAGATTAGCCCAGAAATTTCTCTAAACATCAGGCTATGTGAAAATCAGTACGAATCGTTTTTTCATCCTATCACGTCAATTTCCCACCAGAAGCTTTCATTTCTCCACCTTTTGTTAATGAGAAAAATTGAAATATCAAGTCAGGGTGACACATAGATAGCCTTAAGTAACTCAAACTTCTCAGAAGATGTCCAAGCTATGTGGAAATAATAGCGAATCGGTTGATTCATTTTCCACCAAAAGTTACCGGTTTTCTACCTTATGCTAATGGAAGAAATTGGAAACAACAAATTACGGTCATACATAGACAGTTTGAATTGACTGCAGAACTCTCTAAACTTGTTTAGACGATGTGGAAATTATTACGAATCCCTTTTCCATCCTATCACTTCAATTTTTCATCTTTGATTAATTAGTAAAATAAAATATTTTGAAATTGATTGTTTCAAATAATCTGGTAAATCTAGGCTATGTGAGCTTTCGTATGGCGCAATGTTTCTTAACAGGGCAGATTTTTCTGGGCTAACTTCGCAGACCTTCCACAGGAACAATTAATTTTGAGCCCAATTTGAGATATGACCCGCCAAACCAGGTTATGGAATTTTAGTTTTGACCCACATAATAGTCTATTCCTCTGTAATCGCGATTTTCGAAAATTTCATACCCAGTATGCTGTATATGCACATAAAAATATGTATTTCTTCAACTAATGTGAATACCATTTCAAAATGTGTTGAATTTGAAATACATTTTAGGCTATATTTTGGAGTAGAAAAATCGAAAATAGGGACATGCAAAGTGTGCCAAATGTTGGTTTGAGATGTTTACTACTGGTTCACTAAGTTCATCTTTCTCAAGGCCTGTAACTTAGCAAATGAACATGTCACAAAGAAAAATCGTGCATTTCTGATCCACGCCTACTAGATGTATAAATAGGCCCAATATGAGCAAGTTTTAAAACCTTTTTTTTCAGTGTAAAATGCCCCCTAAAAGCACAAATGTATATCTTTTCAACATTTTATCACTCAATCTAATAATTATATAATTACAGCTTATGATGAGCCAGCAAAACTAATCATATGAATAAAGTAGAAAAAGCCTGTATTCATATAATTTGAACAAAGAATATTTTTCTAAATCACTTTTTCAGGGCATAAATAATTATTTATAAGGATAAACACTTATTGACAAATAGTAGAATTATTACATAAAAAACTTTGATAAATTCATTTACTCCTTTTATACTTGAAATGTGAATAATTGACAAACTGAGAAGTAACTATTTTTGTTAAATTAAATCTTCAATTGTAATCATAAAAGAAATATATTGGCATCAAAATTTAAAATAAGCAGTTAATGAATTTTACTGGCTTTTAAGTATTGATCGACCAGCCAAAGATTGCTAGGGACGAAAGGGGGAAATGCGATGAAAAAACCTTACCATTAGACGATTTTATATGGAGTCATAGGCGGAGATCGGAGAGACTTGAATTATTAATTGAATTTATATTTTATTACAACTGGTAGTATTAATATTTTTTTGCGATTCATAATGACGTGATACCAAACATACATTATAAGAAATAAATATACACAAACACTGAATATTGAGAACAAAATAAATATATTTTTTAGGCAACAAGTAATATTCCTATGTACGCATTATGATTGAACAGCAAAACAAATTATGCATTCTTCTAAAATAGAATACAACAAGTCAAAAATATCTGACTGAATAGAAAAATATAGGAAAACAAAAAGTAATTTCTTGATGAAATAACCCATAAACAACACATAGAATTAGACTTTCTACTGAGATACTAAAAGCCACAAACCAATAGTATAATAAATGAATATCTAAAAATTCTAAAAGGTAGCCAATCTAGTATAGTTTCAATCCTGATTAGAGTCATGATCACTGTCTGAGGAACTGTCATTGCTATCACTTTCACCTCCTATGTTGATTATTATTTCTTCCTGTATTTCTTGAATGAGACTGTCTTTTTCCCAATATTCATCTTCAATTTTTATAACATGTCCAATAACCTTTTGCCAGTCACTGGCACTTACTGAAGCGATGGCCTTATTAGAAATTTCATCTAGTTTTTTTATAGTAAATTCGCCGCTTGTATTATGGCTTCTAATGAAAAATTTTACTTGTGCCCAAATCATCTCTATGGGATTAAACTGACACATATAGGGTGGCGTTCGAAGTGGGGTGTGTCCGAAACTTCTTATTAAATTATCTATCTTATAATTTTTCTCATCAGATGGTGGCCTATGTAAACAAGCTATTTCATAAAGCTCCATTTTTTTAGCATTAGGATCATGCTCTATACCTTTTTTGCTCAACCACGTGATGATGTCTCTTTTTAGAGAAGATCTAGTTGGAGGCTTGTCTTCCAAAGCTGAATGGTAAGGTGCATTATCCATTATTATAATACTATTAGGAGGAATGTTAGGAAATAGTTTTTCAGTAAGCCACTTCGTGAAATTTTCTTGGTTCATTTGACCGTGATAATCACCAGTGGCACAGCCAGCCTTGAAAATGAGACAGGCTCCAGGAACAAAACCATCTTGCGAACCCGCATGAACAATTATAAGTCGTCCTGGAAATGAATAAATAGCCTCATTTTAGTGTTATTTTAAGTTTGCCAACACCTTTTTGAATCACTATGTATAAAAAACATATTTTTGAGAAAAAAATACTTGCAAGGGATTATGTATTCAATTAGACAAATTAAATGAGCACTTATTAAGAATATTCCAAAATTGAGAAAAATGTATAATAAGCAAAATCGAGGTGAAAGAAACTTTATTACCTGTAGAACTTATATTGCTCAGGACACCCATAATTTCTTCGCTTTGCCAGCATTTCTTGAAAGTGAGGTCATTATCAACCCAAGTTTCGTCCAAATAAATAATATGCCTTCCTTCTTCCCGGAACTTTTTAATAGACCTAAGATACTTGTATCGCCAATGTAAAATACTGGGTCTTTCCATTAGTAATTTCCTTTTGTTGTGGCATTTACGCCAGTAAAATCCTTTTGCTTTTAAAAGCAGCCTCAACGATTCTTTACCAAATGGAAATTCCATTTCTTCCTTCAGTTTGATTAGAAGTTTACTACAAGTAGGTACCACTTTAAAATCACAGTAAAATTTTTCTATCATTCTCCGAATAATGGAAAAATCGACTCCATCAATTTTTTGGATCACAGAAGGGCGTGATCTCTTTTTTCCGGGAGAAGCTAAAGGCTGTGTGGAGGTTGCATTTTGCCTGTCTTTATCTTCTTTTCTAATTTTACTTATAGTTCGTTCACTAACACCCGTATAATATGCCGCCCTTGCATTTCTAGCTACCAGTGGATAAACGAAAGTATTGTTAGCCGCTTCTGCATCGCAAGCACGTATCACGTTTGCTATTATTTCCCTTGCCTGGCTGTGAATAACTTTCCCATGCTTGAATTCCATTATCACCACTAAACAGTAAATTATATTTTCAAAGTATTTGCCAACTGCCTACGCCTATGGGAGTAGGTTTATAAATGACCGTGCCATCGGCACGTTATTCTAGTTTCAGATAAGATAAGAGTTTTGGACCAATCAGCGACCGGATGTTTACCTGCGGCCTGGGTTTTCCAGCTACATTGCCAAATTCAGCGGAACAATTCTATATCTTAAATATGTTAATATGTATGGACCGCATTTTATGTAGAACATCTGACAACTTCGCAATTTTTTGTCCGCATTCTTTCGGCTTGCAATCTTTCGCTGGTCCAACAGTATGTATGGCTTGTGATAAAAGTTTACATAGAATACAGAAATCAATTTAATTGCTAGTCTTTTTAAATTTATAAGGTTCATTTGTATTCAAAAATGTTACTAGTTCATAAACCAAAAGTAAAAAAAAAGATACAATCTTTTTGTTGAAACACCTATGAAAAATGACTCACGCATTCATCATCATAATTAGGTCTACCTAAAATAACGTTAGGTAAAACATAAAAATAATTATGAAGATTCTAATATAGCAAAGTATAACAATGAGTGTTTAAATCCGCTTTAAATCATAGAGTTAATTTGTATTGAAATTTCTTAACGAACGGTACCGCCAGAGGTACACGCCCAGGCATATAAACAACCGTCACAACAACAATCTCACCTGTGTGCTATGTTTTGATTATTTATTGTCCTCGGCGTTTCCAAGCAACCTTATCTGTTTATAACTGATAAAAGCATTCAGTGCACATCACTCTGTCTTATCAATCGCGGCTACCTACACTTTATCAACGATAACATCGCGAATTAGGGTACAAACGAGGAAAAACACGTTATCCAGGTTATATTACTTACAATCGCCACGGATTACTAATATAGCCGCGGCAGTCGGCGGAAAGCACGAAACATAATACAAATATACCCTGAAGAAGGTAGGGCAACACAATTGACTTATGTCATTGTCATTCTTGCGCCATGGTTGCCAGCGAGTATAAATGCGACGCAACGTTGCCAGCTCGACACATAAATCTGCGATTGGTATACTTTTATATTATCTGCTTTTATACACTGATAACTAAATTTGACTGACGGGCGCGAGTTCAATGTGTACAAGAGAGAAGCGCGGGAATTGCGTAAGGCACATAGATTAGAAAGGGATACGTTGTCTAGTAATGAAAATATGCGTGAGTTTATTCTTTACGCCCAAATAGTGGTTTTATTTTGAACGTACACATTTTTGAATTGTGTCTCTTAGGATCGGTCGAAATGCGCTCCACTTTAGGTCGAAATGAAAGGTCAGGATCGCCACAAATTCTGGAACATCACATAATTGATCGTTTATTAACACCGCACTTTGACATTCCATGATCATAGTCGAGCGATTTTGCTAATTATCACAGATTACAGATAGCACTCTGACCTATGATTCCTAGTGCCACCGTAAACGGCGCCATCTGAAGATTGCGCCGAACATTAACACATAACAAACGAAACTAAGGCCCGTATCGTCAGTCGTCCCTACAAATGTAGGGCGCCTTTATGGCCTCCTTGATCGTCATAGTTTTCTACTTCTCCGTGTCAGCGCTCTATTTTGAGGTTATGTCACAAACATCTATTTGCATCAGATTGTGCTTGCTTTTGAGTTATATCATGTTTTGTCGGCCTGAAATTTCCTACAATTTAAAAAGAAAACATATCTTCACAATAGGAGAGCGCTGACGCTGACACGGGACAAGTGTAATCTAGAAATTGTTGAAGGAGAGAAAGCAGTATGACAATCAAGGAGGCCATAAATTGTAGGGGCGACTGACGATACGGGCCTAAAACGACGATTAATTATGCTGAGACCACCAGTGGCGAAGCGTCCATGTAACAATCGTTACCATTGGTAACAGTTAAAAATCTTAAAAATAAATATTTTATGACTAAGTACTGTGAAATAATTTTGTTTACCAACAGCGATATGTAATAGTAATTCTGTAAATAGCAAATCAGCCCCACGAAAATAATGCGCCCTATAGTGTCTAGGTTTTGCGAACACGATGAAGCTGACTTGGTAGGCGGTTGTTACCATTTTCATTTATGGATACACTCGGTAGTCCGTCGGGGACCGCCGGTACCGGCTCGTGCCTGATCGCGGTCGCCCCGAGTGGGTGGGGCGCTGCGACTATTATGTGGGCTTGTTACCATTTTTTGATTTGGTTGCTCACTTCTCACTCGTTAGTAGCCATTTTGGTTACCGGCTATAGTGTGCCTGCAATTAAAGATGAGTGTCGTTGCGTAATCGATCAACTACTTGAAAAGTCATTCTCCTTGTATAATTTTTAAGAAAAGAAAAGAGATCATTGAAAATGGGAGACCAACACCTATTTTAGATAATTTTAAAAAAGGAATAAAAAAACGTAGTTCGATATTTTAAATTAAGTTGGTGTATGGAAACTCTTGGTTATGTGGTTGCAAAAAAACAGATTGTATTGTTGGCGATGTCTTCTGTTTTATACAGAAAAAAAATGGGTGGACCAGAAGCGGAGTCAACGATTTAAATAGTTTTAGGGCTCTAAAGAGGAGGCATGAAATTTCTCCGTTACATGTGAGACGTGTAACCAATTTAATTCAGTTTGGCAAAACAAGAATCGAAAGTAGTCTTAACCAAGCTTTTAGGCAGCACACTTCTAGATACGGTATGTTTTTTGGCAAAACGGGAATTACCGTTCATTTTGAAGGGGATGACTCTGACAATAGAGGAAATTACAGGGAATTGTTAACATGCATTACCAAAAAAGGTAAAAAATTTTCCGAACATCTAGAAACGTCGACTGTTTTTTCGGACGGCTTGGATTAGTCATAGCATGAAACCATGAGGTATATCAAGTGTCCCAGACGCTCAGTTCAGGAACGTTTACCTTAATTTAAAAATACCTTAAATAAGCAAAAACTTATATTTGGGAGGTTCAAAATAAACTTTTTTTGGTAACAGTTTAGGAACCGTCACGCGTCGCCTCTGGGGGCTCAAAGAATTCGTCCTATCGCGAATCATCCTCGCGAATACGATGGCGAATACGAATACTCTTCGCGCCGCTGTCGGTAAATTGCTGCACATCAAAGGGTTCTGTTGCGACAAAGTTCGTGCGGTTGGCTACACTTTGCGCGCTTTAGTTGGCTACGAAACGACGAGCGGATTGATCGTGTTCGACTGAACTTGTTGATCGTGGATTGAAGTAATGAGAGGATATTAGAATTCATACAAAATTATGAATCCGAACCAGTTTTATGAAACCCGCAAGAGCAAAAAAAAATGAATTACGACGCATGGGTGAGAATTAAAGCTAATTTAAGCTGGCCTGATTTGGTTGAGGAACTAAAAGCAAAAATAAAATCCCTAATGACTTATTATAGAACGCATCTAAATAAATATAAAAAATCGTTGAAGTCTGGAGCAGGCAAGGATGATATTTACCAAACCGATTTTTGTTTATAACGGGTAATTTTTTAGGAGATATAGGATTTGATTTAAAAAAAAAACACAAAAAATTTGAAAAAACGATTAAATCTTTATTTGAGTCGATAGAACGGTGGATATAATTTAATGTTTAAAAATTATTTCATGTAAATGTTGGCCGCGGCTCCGCTTTAGATGGCCCATGCGCAAGGTCCAATTTTGGCACATTCTTTCCAACATATCGGCCGGTATCTCACGAATAAATGCTTCAATATTGGCTTCCAGTGCGTCAGTCGTTTTATCCCTGTAGACATTAGCCTTAACATGCCCCCACAAAAAATATTCCAACGGCGTTAAATCGCACGATCTAGGCGGCCAATTGACGGGCCCCAAACGTGAGATAAACTGTTCCCTGAACTCGCCTCTCAATAGGGCCATTGTTTCAAGTGCGGTGTGGCATGTGGCACCGTCTTGTTAAAACCACATGTCAGCCAAGTCCAGCTGTTCCATTTTGGGAAAAAAAGTTTGTTATCATCGCACGGTAGCGCTCGCCATTCACAGTTACGTTCCGGCCATTGTCGTCTTTGAAGAAGTACGGCCCGATGATGCCACCGGGCCATAATCCACACCAAACAGTGATTTTTTCGGGATGCATTGGTAGCTCTTGCAATGCTTCTGGCTGGTCTTCACTCCAGATGCGGCAATTTTGCTTGTTAACGTACCCATTCAACCAGAAATGAGCTTCGTCGCTGAACACAATTTTTCGATAAAAACGTGGATCTCCATCCAACTTTGCCAGCGCCCATTCACCAAATTGGAAACGTTGTGGGAGGTCGTGTGGCTTCAATTCTTGCACCAGCTGTATCTTATAAGGTTTTATACCCACATCCTGTCGCAAAATTTTCCACGTAGTGGAGTAACAGCGGCCCAATTGCTGCGAACGGCGGCGAATCGACATTTCACGGTCATCACTAACACTGGCGGATACAGCCGCAATATTTTCTTCAGTCCTCACTCTACGTCTGCGCGTTGGTGGTTTAATGTCCAATAATGTAAACTGGGTTCGAAATTTAGTCACAAGCTTCCGAATAGCTCCCTCAGTAGGCCGACCAATTTGCCCATAAATTGGAAGCAGTGCTCGATGCACTCTCTTAACCGAGCATGAATTTTGATAGTAAAATTCAATAATTTGCAAGCGTTGTTCGTTCGTAAGTCGATTCATGGTTAAATTATAGACCAAACTGAACAAGATTGACAATGACACAAGACACGATTCACGCGTCATCTGTCAAAAACGGTGTTGCCAAAAAGATACTAGCAAAAAAATCACTCATTAGATAACATCCACCATCACCCTTTATTCCTCTTTTTGCCCTTTTAATTTTTGTTCAAGTAATGAAGATGCAGTAAATAATTATTTTCCGATATGTGATGCAGCGCAACCGTCTCTTCCATGCTTCTCGCGAAATGAATTATCGCGACGTAGTAAAGTTTTTTTTGATGTGGTCAAGCACTTCGTCATGGATCGAAAAGGAACTTTTATTGTGATAACGCGAACACGAATCTTCGCCTTAAAGTGTGGCCGTAGCATTAAAGGATTTTGATCAGTGTCACTTCATCCCTTACCGAGCGAGGCCGCGGCAAATGCTTCTTCCGGAAGTTATTGTATCCAGTATACAATTTCTTCCCCTTCAAGTGATTGTACATGCAGTACCGATTGCCGGGTAGCGGTACAAGTCCGCCAACGGGCCACTTTAGGTCTATTTAATATCATCAACACGCAAAAAAAAGGTGGTAGACAAGGAGCAGTCGACTGAAGCGGTACCACCGGCTAGCTTTGCCCAAGGTGTCTCGTAAATGTCCGCATGTTTCCACACCTAAGCTATGCAGTCGGTTATCTTCCAAAACAAAGAAACTAATGATGATGGATCCCTCGAGTACTAAGAATGTCAGAGTGAACGGTGGACTCGAGGGAACAACATCAAAGATAAAATTTGTTTTATGAACATCTGCGGGATTAATAGCAACGTTGATGCTGTTCATCACTACCTGCAATCCAATCGTCCGGCCATGTTTTTCTTGGCGGAGACAAAAATCTCGAATTACGAGGGTGCACTCAAATCTGAGAAAGAACGGGGGAGTTGTGGCTTTTATCCGCAGCAGTCTTTCCTGCTTCGGAGATTTTTCTTTGGAATCAGACCGGAAGGACATTCTGTGGCTTCGCCTCAACTCCTACACATCCCCCAAATTTATTTGCTTCCTTTATCACTCTCCTTCGGACCATAATTGGGATGACCTACTTGAATACGTCGCAGTCAAGATCGACTTCCTGAACATCAATCAACCCTATAATAAGCTTTGGTTGGGCTCAAACAAGACTGATGCAGCAGGTCGTGCTGTTGAAAAGTTCGCTCTTACTCAATGGCTGACCCAGCTGGTGGCGAACCCTACTTTTGTCCCCCGCGTCTCGTCACATGCTGGATCTCTTTCTGACCACGCATACTGTCCCTTACAGCACTGCTGTCCTATTGGCCCTGGACAACTCAGACCAAGGTGTTGTGGAGGTTAGGTTTCGACCAGAACTCGCTGTGGCGACAGAAACTCGCACACGCCGCAAAATTTGGCATTACGGACATGCCGACTGGTATGGTCTACCTTTCCTTGGAGCGATGTCTGTTTCACTGATGCGGATGCGTCGGCTGTCTGTTCTTCGATAACCGAAATTATCCACGTCAGAATAGAGGAGTACATCCCTCATACAGTGCCATGATGCCACCGCGCGAAGACCCTACCAGACAGACCCACCCGACTTTGGCCTCACATCCTAACCGTGTCGAACTTCGTACATCCAGAATTGGCCGATACGACCGCTCCTTTGTCCCGAGGGTGTCGAGATTGTGGAACAATCTACAAGAGGAAGCTTTTTCCAGTTATACTAACCTTAGGCAGTTCAAACATCGAATTAACAAAATTTCTTTTGGATCATCATAGCAGCCACGGTTTCTGCCTGCACGGCTGCTTCGGTATAAAAAAACTTGCCCCCTCTTTATCCTCGAGTTGCATTATATTCATAAAGAAATATACGGGGTGTTGTTAATTATGCTAATTTGAAAATATGTATTCGTTATACGAAGTAGTCATTAAAACATACAATTTCCGAGATTCCATACACTTTTATTCTGTAAAATAACATACAACATATAATACGCATCTAAGTAATCACTTAACAATTAAAAATGGCGTCAAGTCTGTTGATAGGTACCTATATATTCTGTTACTATGTTCGCCTTATAAAAAATTTTGAATTCATTTCAATTTCATAGTTTGCAATATGTATTTCCAAATGCATCACAAAAAAGATTATATAAATAATCTTTCCAAATCTATAAAATATAAAAGTTCATTTTCTATCAATATTCTTAGATGAGAAATTTTGTCGTTCGTGCACGGAAATGCACCCAATACCAATAACCACTCAATAAGTCTAATTATGAAACAATTTTGAGATCAAGTCTGTACTTGTCATTATTAGTGTAAGGTCGGTATTAATAGTTGATGGCAATATTTCAATAACTCCCTAATAGGTTTTTCGTAACCATAAATTTTAGCAAAATCGTTCTTACTATTATAATAATAACTATTATTTCTTTTTGAAATGATTTGTTTTCATCACTAGTTCTAACAATTTGTCCACAAGACCGTCACCAGAAATGAATATATTTGGACCATAAATATTATTGATGTGTTCATACAATATAAAATTTAGATAAATTTAGTAAATGCCCAATATATAATTATACAAGAGTCTCAGATTCATGCAAAGAGCCGGCAACCATATGGCATCCAGAAAAAATGGCGATTGACACTGACATAAATCAACCGTGACTAAGCATTCTTCAGTGTATAAAGGTGTTGTGTGGGAGAATGTTAAACAGTGCGGTGTCGCCGCACCAGAACCAGACAACACTGTGGCATACAGAAAAACTGGCGACATTTGACAAGTACGACGGTTTATACGCTATCTCACTAAACACTTTAGTATCCATCACACTTTGACCTCTACTGAGGTGAACAGCTGATCAGCAAGTGACATTTTTGTGCTAGTCTGCGACTTTGGCTATAATGAATCGGATGTAAATCTACTAAAACTTGTTTGTAGGGTTTTGTTTTTTGTATGCGAATGAACTTTTCTAAATGAAAGAGCTGTTAGCAAGTACAAAATGAATCTGTAGCGTACCAAAAAATCAAAACTAAATGCGGCTCTGGCTACCGGAAGTACATGACGTTGACGGATCCGTCAGAATTATGTGTCCTGTGCCGATATGGGGAATTTTGAGATATTACTAGATAATCAGCTGTCATTCTACAGTGATGGATACTCGTGAAATAAGGTATACTGAAAGTCGATGGTTTACTGCGCATAATTTTACGAACATATGCACAATATGCACCCCCCCTCCACACACACACACACACACACACAAAATATGCACAATCGCCAATAAATGCAGTTTTTAGACAAAACTGACAATACATTTTCTTAATAGCTGCACGTTCTGAGTGAAATATGAATTAAGTAATTATCTGTTACGCATCCCAGTCCCGATGATTGTTCATAACTGATGCCCTTAATTAAATTTAATAAGTAAATATTATTTTATTCTTGTATTATTTTCTTAAATTCTCATTAAACAATAAAAAGGTTCCATGAAATTTCAGTTTTTTGAAAGTGGCGGCTGCGCCAGAAAATCAGTATAGATATATGAACAATTTCTATTTACATCTTTGCACTATTTGAAATCTATCGAGAACAACACTGCATTGTAGTAACCTCTCTTTTATTTGTGTTTGGCTGGCTGGATGCCTCGAAGGTACGTTTTTCGTAACTACAAAGTGATTCTTATTTTTTCTCGAATTGATGAACTTTGTTGACTGCGAAAATTACTAATTAGTTTCTTGTTTATTTTTGAGGGTTTATTTGTTTTTAACAATAAAACTGCATGTTTCATGTGTTTTATTTATATTACAAAAGTGTACACTCCAGATAATCATTATGGAAATTTACAAAGATAAACCTATAAAAACTAAAAACATACTCTATTAAATGAACTATACAATTTTGAGATCATTAAAAACTAAACATGACACACTTAGAGCTCCAATATTGATGATATAATACAAATAAAAAAATAAAATTGGTCTTGAAACATGGAGACACACTAAACCCCAAAATACTGTTCTAAATTTGCTGGTTCTACTCGATGTAGGAGCATGATTGACCAGCAGACCATCCGGTGTGAGCATAGCTAAGAAGTCCAGTTCATATAAAAAATCCCCATTCTACAGAGACTAAGATTTTTCATGGAACTGTCGAATAAATGGTAATGATGCGGTATTCATGCTGGATTTCGAGGTAATGGTGTTATCAGTCAATTCAAACCATAGCCTTGATCTTCGTAAAATACATATTTTTCATCTACAAAAATGTAATTCTGCTCCAACTGTTCCTAGGTATTATTCCCCCTAAAAAGTGACATTCAATGTAATTGTCATACATAGGAATATAAATCAAATCCAAGCGAATAACCGAAATTTCTGTGTTATGTACCGCGGTTATAATATGGTTCAAGACGACACACGGGTTGATGACGTCAGTTAGTTGAATCGCTTGAACGCGTTGGTTTTAACCGCGGTTTTGTTGCAAGTTGTTTATTTTAGAAAAGCGCGTATATAATTACTGATTATTTTTATTATCACTTAATAATCGGTGCTTATTCGACTACAACGGTGTATGGAAAGTTAAAAAAAAAAACGTTTCAAATATTAATGGGAGATACATTTATTGATTTAGCAGAAATTATGAAAAAGCGATGAAAAAAGATTATAGCAAAACCGTATACAGGTGGACATCATCCAGTGAATTTATATGGCCATACATATATTAATATTCTTGTGGTATATGGCTACAAGGATACTGTGTTAAGTATAGGAACTAGATTTAAAGTGTCCCCAACAACAGTAATGATTATAACTAATGAGGTGCTCTACTTTATGCTAAAACTGAAGTCAGCCTGTATCAAGTTTCCCAAAAATGAAGCTGAAGTTCAATAAACATATCCAATACCCGCTAAAATTCTAACTTGTCACATTTCAAATAATAACCAGAAATATAAAACTACTCCTGAGTTGGGTAAATACCACAATTTTGCGGTGATAACTATGACATATAACAGCTGATTCGTGACGTCACGGATCTTATAACCAAACTGATAACCACACTCGTTTGAACGGATCGGTAAATACCAATCCAAAATGGTAAATACCATTTTCATTTGGTTATCCGCTTGAATTTTATTATTCAGTGTTAAGTGCTGGACAGTCGCTTTGGAAAATTTTACCCAAATTCAAATCTCGATATTTTCGGAACGGAAAGATATATCGAGTTGCGGTACAGGTACAGGATCCGATCGGTATATTGCTTTTATTACATGGTCTAAAATTACATATGTAATGTCAAAGTAGCAAATTTTTAATGCATGTCACTGGAGGCAATGACGTTCAATGAGCGCTTCAGTCGTTTCTCAAGCGCGAGAAATTCCACTTTATGCATTCTCAAAAGAAACCCCAAAACACTTTTTTAAAATTGGATAATTTGAGTTATAATCCACTTTAGACAATTTAAGAAATTACTTTTTTAGGATAGTCCAAAGACAAAAAAGATGCATAGAAAAATTTACAAGATCAAAAACTGAGTATCGGACAGCCTCAAACTTAAAAAAAAACTGGATTCCTGTGCTCACCGTGTATAAATACAGAAAATATACCGGTCGAACCCTGTACGTCTTTTCAAAAAGTTGGTCAAGAACCTCCCGAATACCGCAGGGTAAAATTTTCCATGTACTGTCCACCAGTTTATATGGTTCAAGTATACAGCATGTATCGCACCTAATATCCCAGCATCATGTCCTCGACCGGAAAATGCACCAATTAAACAGGCAACGATTCCATCTGAGCAGAGGACACTTTGGTATTTGAGGCAGTGTACCTCTGTTGTCTTACTTATTATTTGAGTCTTTGAGGCGACATGTATAAAAAGCTTTCAAGATCAGTCAGACGGCAAGGATATGACGGCCTTTTCAGCACAAGGCATAGGGATGTTAGTCCTAAAAAAATGTGAACACGTTATCCACTACACTTTATACTATAAAGGGATGTCGCGCTATATTGCTGAAACCAGGTCCTGCTATGGTAGGCTTCAAAATTATGCAGTTGTGGACAAAAAAGTTACGTAGCATTGCTGTGTTGCGATTAAAATTGACTGTTACAGTCTGGTCTTGCTCGTTTTCGAAGAAATAGGGTCCGATGATTCTTTCAGCTGACACGGCAAAGGTCGTTGGTGATTTAATTTGGCATTTTCTGCGGCCCACTACCGGTAATTTTGCTTGTTGACAAATCCACTCGAATGAAAATGAGCTTCATCAGAAAAGAGAATATTGATCAAAAACTTGGAAAGCGCTCTAACATTGTTTCGGCAAACCCACGGCGTAGATGGAGGCGCTGCGGTTTCAACTCTAGTTGAAATTTGTATGGGTGCAATTTACGGTCTCTTTCCAAAATACGCCTTACAGATGTTCTTGATATGGTGAGCTCAGCTGATCTCTTTCCGGATGATACTTGTGGATCGCGCCGTAACTTCGCTTACAGTTTCGTCTGTTCGTGTAGACCTTGGAGTCCAGCAGGCTTCTGATCCAGTATCGAACCGGTAGACTCGAACATTCTGACCCACGAGAGCTGTTAACACTTTCACTAGGACATTGATTTAAATCATGTAAGCTAAACTCAGAGTGAAACAGACGCCGCGCAATACTGCACGAATCTCCGCTTTTCTAATAAGCTGCTCACCGGTGAACGCTCCATGGCGACTAAATTTCCGAGCACCAAGCTACTTATCCCCACGAGCAATGCAGTTTTGAAATTCGTACGTACTGTACTATAAAGAAATACCTAATTAATATGCTGTGTAAACTATTTTTAATATGCTCTTATGGAAGTACAGTAACAGAAATTATAACATGACATCAAAAGAAGAAACTATCATGAAAGTATAAAAAGTTGTCTTGTTTTAGAAACCACTTACCATCAATATGATCACCTGCACGTGCAGTTATTTTATTGGATACATTTTTTAGTCTTAGCAAGTGGGGTCTTTCAAATCTAAAGTTCTTCACCACCTCTTCATCATTTAATCTGTCCAAAGTAAATGCATCTGCTCTTTTTTCATACTCATTCCTTAAAATGTGGTCTAGTATAATGGATTCAACGTCATCATCTCCATTCTCCAACAACACTGCTTCTAACTCAATGTCCATATTTTTATTAAGATAGATTTAGTTAAAACAGTTACTGAACATACATTTTTGGCACGTCAATATTAGCTTAGTAGTAAGCAAACAAAAATGCTGAATAAAGACAAACAACAGGCTCAAACCAAACGATGAAATTATATAATAATACAAACTGCAATTGAACAATAACAATTTTAATATAAGTCCTATTTCATGTGTATCCATCACGTTCTGACATCTACTGAGGTCAACAGCTGATCAGCAAGTGACATATTTGGATTAGTCTGTAACGTTGACAGTAATCATAAAAAAATCGGCTGTCTGAAGCTGAATTACATCAGAATTATGTCTCATGTGTTAATATGGGGAGTTTTGAAATATTACTAGATAATCAGCTGTTATTCTATCGTAATAGGTACTCATGAAAAAGTCAATACGTCGCTGCTTATGGCCGTGTCTAACCATGAAATCAATAAATGTATTTTTACATAACATTAGTGGCAGTTACAACCGTCAAAATACTGGCTGGCTCTACTACAATATAATTGGGTTTCTGAAAGACAATTCCAAAATATCATAAGAAAAAAGAAACACCCAAACGACCAGATCTTTGCCAATCCAGTATTTTGATAACACATAATTCAGGCAATCTAAATAACATATAATTCTATCCTATCCAGGTAAAAGAGTTGTCCAAGTCGGGTACGTTGTCACAGCCAGGTTTCTGGTGCATGAAAAGAAAAAAAAAAACAGCAGCAAGTATTCTATAAAAAGGCCTCGAACTTTTTCATTTTCTTCTTTCATTCACCGTAGAATCGGATTCAGAGAAATAAGAGTGATCATGTAGAATTGTCATATTTGACTGCTCCCCTGGCAAGAAATACACATTACTTGCAGCAGAGGTTGAAAGAGAATGACACGTGTCTGCCGAGGAACCAGCCGAACATTCCTTCTGTGAAAATGCAAGATTTGAAGTTGAATAGTCCGTAGTTTGAGTTATATCTTTCGGAATTGCAAAATATCTCAATCTTGACTGAGGATCTTGATCACAAACATGATCTGAAAGGTGAAAGTGATCTTCACAAACACACAAATTATCTGACTTTACATCGGGTGCTAAGCCACAAGCTGCATGCCATAGTTGTCTCTGAGCAGGGTTTTTAGGGAAGCGATGAAATTTCTTGAGATTTGAATAATTTGCTTTCCAAAAGTGTTTATTAGGGCACGAGGGAAATTGGCATTTCCGTGTAGGATATTTGGGTTTTTTTTCCTTCTGTGAAAATGCAACATTTGAACTTGAAGAGTTTGGAGATTGCACTAAAGATCGAGCCATATCTTTCGGAATTGTAATATGTTTCAATATTGACCGAGGATCTTGAATGCCAGAATGATCTGAATGGTGAAAGTGGTCTTCACAAACTAACAAATTATCTGACTTCACATTGGATGCTAAGCCACACGCAGCATGCCATAGTTGTCTCCGAATGGGGTCCCTAGGGAAGCGATAAAATTTCTTGGGACTGGAATGACTTGCATTCCAAATGTGTTCATTAGGGCATGAAGGAAATTCGCATTTCTGTGTGGAATATTTGGGTTTTTTTGATATCAAAGAACCAGATGACATATCAGCAGATGTTGAAAGAGAATCGCACATGTCTGGTGAGGAACCAGCAGAACATTCCTTATCTGAAAATTCAAGATTTGAAGTTGAATTGTCTGGAGACTGTAATGAAGTTCGAGCATCTTTTGGAATTGCAGAATAGTTCAGTCTTGACTGAGGATCTTGAACAGCAGAACATTCCTTATCTGAAAATGCAAGATTTGAAGTTGAATAGTCTGGAGGCTGTACTGAAGTTCGAGCATTTTTAGGAATTGCAGAATAGTTCAGTCTTGACTGAGGATCTTGAACAGCAGAACATTCCTTATCTGAAACTGCAAGACTTGAAGTTGAATAGTCTGGAGACTGTACTGAAGTTCGAGCATTTTTAGGAATTGCAGAATAGTTCAATCTTGACTGAGGATCTTGAACAGCAGAACATTCCTTATCTGAAACTGCAAGACTTGAAGTTGAATAGTCTGGAGACTGTACTGAAGTTCGAGCATTTTTAGGAATTGCAGAATAGTTCAGTCTTGGCTGAGGATCTTGAACAGCAGAACATTCCTTATCTGAAAATGCAAGACTTGAAGTTGAATAGTCTGGAGGCTGTACTGAAGTTCGAGCATTTTTAGGAATTGCAGAATAGTTCAGTCTTGACTGAGGATCTTGAACAGGAGAACATTCCTTATCTGAAACTGCAAGATTTGAAGTTGAATAGTCTGGAGACTGTACTGAAGTTCGAGCATCTTTTGGAATTGCAGAATAGTTCAGTCTTGACTGAGGATCTTGAACAGCAGAACCTTCCTTATCTGAAAATGCAAGACTTGAAGTTGAATAGTCTGGAGGCTGTACTGAAGTTCGAGCATCTTTTGGAATTGCAGAATAATTCAATCTGGACTGAGGATCTTGAACACAAGCAAGATCTGAAACACAGAAGTGATCTCCACAAATAAGAAAATGATCCGACTTCACACTGGATGCTAAGCCACAAGCAGCATGCCACAGTTGCCTCCGAGTGGGGCTCTTAGGGAAGCGATAAAATTTCTTCGGTTTAGAATCACTTCCATTCCAATAGCGTTTATTAGAGCATGAAGGAAATTGGCATTTTGAGGTATATTTGGGTTTTTTTGGTATGAAAGAATCAGAAGAGCTTGCCATTACTTTAAAACCAGAGATATCTACAACACCCACACACACAGAAAGTGACAATGTAAAGAGTCACGATAAGGATAGAGTACTCATCTGATTTTCCACATCTGCTGAGTCTGCACCTGATTTTTTGCAGTTGCTGGATCTACTTTACATCACACGATTACCGAATCTGAAAATATATGATTAGTGGGTACCAAAACTAGGCCACAAAAATAGTTTTTGATCGAACAGTACCAATATACATTATAAACATTGCCTCGTCCCACAGACAAAAACAGTATGTGAAACAACGAATGATGTGTTTTTCCTTTTAGGTGGTTGTTAAAGAGGGTCAAAATGCAATTCTTCACGGGGTGGTCTCATATCTCGGATTTTCTTGACGTTGGCCGGACTGCAGAAAACTTTCCACCCCGGAAAATAGAAAAAACCAATATTATGATATATTACCTATATAATTATATAAACATTCTTCCTATTTCATCACCTACGCTTTTGGCGGGCTGCGTTACAAAACCAGGAAAGTTATACGGAAAGAACCACAAAATATACACTGAGAGAATGCTAACTCAGTGTAATTCAACCAGCAACAATAATGTCGCCATGTTGTCGTGGTGAAAGAACAAATATGACACAGAAAGAACGCCTGCCTACTCAGAACAATTCGACGGAATGACATATGCCGCCATGTTTCTTACAAGGACATACGGCGGTGCTCTCATGGTTGCCTACTTTCTCACCACATTAACACTCATTGACATCTTTATTTGGTTGTTTTTTACATTTATTTTACATGAGTAAAGCCTGTTAGCCTGTAGTATATGGTACAGGCCATATACAGGGTTATCCAAATTAAGTGTCCACCATTAGTAACTTTGTTATTAGTGAAAATACAAAGTTGTTTGAATTAGCAAACTAGTAGCATTTTTAACGCTGGTAAAAATGAGAAATAAAAAAAAAACAATTGAGAGTCGTTATTTTGATTTTTTTCAGTAAAATAACATTTTTTTAAATGGAAACCCCTGTATATTATATTTTTTTCTGTTAAAGCATCAAATTTTAAACAAAAAAGCTTACAATAACTTCTCTCCTAGGTTACAAATTGTTGAAGTTATGGCCTCCAATCTGAAACAATTAAATTGTATCGACAAACTTTATTTTCAACATCAACTTATAATCTTACAAAATACAATAACAATTTTTTTTAAAGAAGATGCTCGAAAACACCACCTTGTTCTTCAATACATTTTTGGGCACGTTTTTCAACTGCTCGAACTGTCTTAAGTATGGTCCTACCATCTATCTGGGTTATCTTTTCCCTAACTGCAGACTTTAACGCGTCAAGGTTATCGTACCTTCGCTTGTAAATTTGGTTCTTTAAGTAACCCCACAAGAAGTAATCAAGTGGGTTTAGATCTGGTGATCTGGGAGGCCACAAAATATCCAATAACTGCAATTTCCGTGGCCTCGCTTATTATGAATTCTTTTTTTGCCCTTGTTTTAGCAAAAACATTTTCGTTGCCCCTAAATTTTCGATAAAGTCTCAGAAAATATCGTTCATACGGTTGAATGCGAGCGTTATATAATTCACTGTAGTATTCTCTTGCTCTCAAGGAGGATTTTCTGCACACTAAATAGCATTCTAACATATCACACTTTTCTTCATGGGAGAACATTTTTCTTTAAATTAATGACACAATAAAGCTTATAAACAAGTATTTATACTAATGTTTGACATTATTTGATTCTATCATTGTTTTCCAAAGCCTTCTAGTTGCGAGTATGTCCAGTTTAACAATTTGTCGCTTATCTTAATGCTGTCAAATCGCGAACGCCATGTTGTTTTCATAGCCGTCTTAATATTATAATACTGCAAATAATTAAAAATATTTATCGTTATTTTGACTTTATTTTTGACTTTAGCGGAAAAGTCATTATGAACTTTTTTGTTTAAAATTTGATGCTTTAACAGAAAAAAATATAATATACAGGGGTTTCCATTTAAAAAAATGTTATTTTACTGAAAAAAATCAAAATAACGACTCTCAATTGTTTTTTTTTATTTCTCATTTTTACCAGCGTTAAAAATGCTACTAGTTTGCTAATTCAAACAACTTTCTATTTTCACTAATAACAAAGTTACTAATGGTGGACACTTAATTTGGATAACCCTGTATAGTAATTTAATAACTCACCATGAGATTCTAAAAAATAAAATAAAACAATTCTATCACAATATGGTCAGGTATGTCACAGCCGGGTTTGCGAAGATTCAACCAAGGAGGTACATGGAATAATTAAAAAAACTCTTAGCAAATATCCGAAAATGATTTACTTGGTGGCATTCAACTTTTTCATTTCCCTTTAATGACCATCAGATGTTTCAAGAGGTCTTTTCAAAGAATTTTGTTTGTTTAATAAACTAGTTTGATGCATTTGTTAATGATATTTTTGAGGTCATCATGAAAATTGCAAGGCTGAAAATTTTCAAGCAGTTGTGTCAGACCTGTTTTGAAGGAGGCTTGAACATTAGGCAAATGGGCAAACTCATATAAAAAACTACAGTTTTATATGGATAACATCTAGTAGTTTGTCATTTGCGTATGTCAGCCTCTGCTTATTGTCCTGTTCCTTGAAATGAACATACAACTGTAATAGGCTCAACTCATCAGAGAACAGTGCTTCCCGACATGTAGGGCATTGGGGGATGTTAACATCACTTTCTGTTGCGGTGAATTTGATACATTTTAGATTCCCTTTCTGTTAATTAACTTTTACTTACTTCTAATTGTGTAAGGCATGAACTCGAATTGTCTGACAGAAATATACAGGGTGACTTCGAAGTTGAGTCATTTATTTTAACAGTGAGTAGATCTGATCAAAAGAAATGTTTTTTTCCTTTAACATTTTTCTGGTAAAATTAAAGTAACAAAGTTATAGCCCTTCAGAAGTTTGAGTACCGCCCTGTCTCAGTAATAATATTATGCGCTCGTGTTTGGCGACAACGGATATAATTCGCCTTATCCGTTAATCGCATCGGAAACAAAAAAGCGAAAGAATTTGAAACGATGTTTTTACTACAATGTACAATTTTATTCAGTTGTTTACAGTCAATGTGTCAGTCGGTAACGCGTGAGTGAATAGTGGTGTTTGTTGCGTGGCTCAAACGAAATAAAAAATGCACATGTTTACGAAAATGCTGAACTTGTGGACATGATTCTTATTTACGGGGGGGGGGGAGTCTTTATGCGGATCGGTTTCCCAATCGAGTGCAAAACCCCTCGTGCCTTTGTTAATGTAGTAGAAAGGGGTCGTCACCCTGTATATTTATCTTGATAATGAGTCCGTGCCACAAAATCTGGATTAGAATAGCAGTGATCATGTTCAGTTCTACTTAGATAGATAGATAGATAGATAGTTTATTGTCCTATTAGATCATGTTACATGATATAAGACTTGTCAATATCAATTTGAGGTCATATATGCGTTTGAGCAAATATGCCAGAAAAATACTTATAATTATAAAATAAATAAGGACATTACAATTACAAAACATTTTAAAAGGTTAAATCACATTATAGGTACAGGTACAGTGCAAGAATCGTAATGTGTTCAATCTGTAACGGTAAAAATATATACATATACAGCGACTTTTTTTATCACAAAAAATGTTCGTCTAGCCGGTAAAAATCATTGAAGCTGATACAAAGAAAAGAAAAGCGGTAGGAGAATCTGTTAGAAATACGTAATATATAAACACAATAAACATCGAGCAGTGAGGACAAATGGTTAAAAGCTTAAAAAGAAAACATACATACTTTCGTTAAAACTCGAATAAAAAGTGAAATTAAAATACATTTACTCCACGATAATAGACAATTCACTGATAACGAAATGATTAACAGCTTAAAAGAATTTAAAAAACAGATACTTTCATGTGTTAGTAAAACTCATGTAGAGAGTAAAAGCATTTTTCAACCAGATATTTCCTGAGATGTTTTTTCAGCGCAAGGATATTAGTGCTTCTCCGCAACTCACTCGGCAGATTATTGTATACCTTAGTGCACGCTAGAATGGGAGATTTTTTGAATAGGGAAGAGTTATGTGTCGGTATACTCAGATCATGCCCTATTCTAGTGTTGTATTGACTATTAATGGCGTTGTTACGAACAAATCTATTGCTATGTTCAAATGCGAAGATGGCACATTTGTAGATATAGATGGAAGTTAATGTAAGCAGATTATAGCGTCTAAATATTTCTTTACAAGAGTCCCTCTTATTAATATTAAAAATTAATCGAAGTACTCTTTTCTGTAGGATGAATAATCTGTTAATCATTGTTGCCTGTCCCCATATGATTATATTGTTAGTGAGGTGAGAATAAACTAGCGCGTAATACATATCTACGAGTGAGTTTAGATGGATGTTAGCCTTTAATTTCAATATTGCAAAATAAGCACTGTTAATTTTGTTGCAAATGTGATTTATTTGTGGTTGCCAGCTTAACTTACTATCAACATGAGTTCCTAAGAAGACAGTTTGTTCTGAAAAGCTATCAATATCCATGCGTGGTTTCTTGTTGAAGAAATGAATTTCAACAGTCTTATCTTCATTCAAAATGAGGCGGTTAGACTGGCACCACTTGCTCATTTCACTTTTGACTTTCTCAATAGATTCGAGAAGATCCTGCGGTGTCGTGGCACTGACGACGATAGATGTGTCATCCGCATAATTAATCATGAAGCCAGACAATTTCAAGTCATTTATGTATACAATGAAGAGCAGTGGTACAAGTACTGAGCCTTGTGCCGCACCTATATTCACGGAATATTGAGTTGACGTATGACCGTTGACCTTCGTTTTCAATTTTCTATCTGTGAGGAAAGACTGGATCCATTTGAGAATAAAATCCCTTATACCTAAGCAGTACAATTTTTCCACGATAAACGAAATATCCATTAAATCGAATGCTTTCGAAAGGTCAAAAAATAGTCCAGCAACGTATCTGTTTTCGTCTACTTCTCTATATATATGGGAAAAAAAGTCAAAGGTCACCGTTTCTATAGATCGTGAGGGTCTAAACCCATGCTGGGTATCTGATAAGACATTATAGTGATTGAGAAAACATAATATACGTTTATACAGACATTTTTCAATGACTTTAGAGATCATCGATCAAAGTGATATTGGTCTGTAGTTTTCAAGGTCTGTACGGTCACCCTTTTTGTATACGGGAATAACAATAGCTAGTTTCAAGCATTTCGGGAATTTACCTTGCTTCACTGATTTATTAATAAGGACTGATTACATCTGTCAAGTCTTTTGGTACTTCTTTTGGCAGGCAATTTACATGTCTTGCTGTAGAAGTTGAAGGAGAATCACAAATGCTTGCTGAGAAACCAACAGAGCATTCCTTCAATGAAACTGCAATATCAGAATGATTAATGGGTTGACTTAGAATTTGACCATCAATATCTTTTGGAACTGCAAGACAGTTCAAACGTGAATAGGGATCCTGAAGGGAAACATGATCAGACAGTACGAAGTGGTCTACGCAATCTTGGAAGTTATCCGATTTTGTACTGGAAGCTAATCTACAGGTATTGTACCATAATTGCCTTTGACTGGGATTTTTTGGGAATCGAAATTTCTTGGATATGAATGACTTACATTCAATATGTATTTATTTTGGCATGAAGGATATAGGCACTGTCGTGTCCATTTCTTGCTTGTTTTTGCCATAGTAGTATCAAAAGGTTTAAGTGAAAAATAATAAATGTCCTGAGCAACTTTACAATATTATTAAAATCAATGTCATGTAGGTACTAACCTGTATATTTTTAAGCCACACCAATCTTGAAGCATGAGTGACAGAAACTGGAACTGAAAATTA